AACGATCACATAATTCACAATAAAACATTTAAATAATAAATAAATAAATAAAAATGAACAAGCAGTCTAGCCAATCTAGCTATATTTGACCTTGGTCATAGGCATCATCACGTGGGTAAAAATAAATGTTTCAAGCACTATAAACAGTGTTTTGAATGTACCAACACATCCCAATTATGTCAGTATGGGATATAAAGTGAATATCAAACAGAAAATTATCCTTAACTTTTGTTCTGCTGACCTCCCATACTGAAGACTTAAAGTAGAGGTACTGTTGTTAAGTGCCATTGAGCCAGTTCCAACTCATATCGACCCTGTATAGGGTTTCAAAGAGCAGTTACGAATTTGAACTGCTGACCTTGCAGTTCAAACCAACCTTGTGGTCCATTCCTCATCCTATAGTACCAAAACAGGACTCCATGAAGCAGGGGTGGGGGAACCTTTTTTTCTGCCAAAATTTATCCACAGGCCATACAAAATTATCAACTTAAAAATTAACCTACTATAGTTGGTCAAATATTTAATTAACTAACCCTAATAGAGAGGGACCAGTCACTGGAGAAGGATACCATGTTTGGTAAGGTGGCGGGTCAAGAAAAAGAGGAAGACCCCCAACAAGATGGATTGGCCAAGTGGCAGCATCGATGGATTCAAGCATGGCATGAGTAGTGAGTGAGGTTGGCCCAGGATCGGGCAGTGTTTCATTCTGCTGTGCACAGGGTCACTATGGGTCAGTACCAACTTGATGGCACCTAACAACAACAACAACTATAGAGCCCTGGTGTGGCACCATAGGATAAACACTCTGCCTCAAGATTGATTTGAAGAGCACAGTGATGGTTCAAACTCACCAGTCACAGGGCTAGACCAAATGATTTCACGAACTTTTTTGGTGCTGTAGGATCAGCACTGGACTTTGAACCACAAAGTCAGCAGTTCAAACCCACCAGCTGCTCCTAAGAAACCCACAGGGTTGCTATGAGTTGGAACTTATTTGGCAGTTGTTGTTGTTAAGTGCCTTCGAGTTGGTTCCCATCCATAGCAACCCTGCACAGGGTTTCCAAGGAGCAGCTGGCGAGCTTGAACTGCTAACCTTGCAGTTCAAACGGCTTTGCAGTCTGGCGCATTAACTCACAGGGCCATACTTAATAATAAACAACATACAGCTGCTGGCCATTCCCCACCCCCTGATTTAAAGAAAAGTCTCTTTTAACTCACCTCCTTGCTTTAGGGTTTTGACTGTAGGTGGAACTGTGGAACCCTGGATAGAACAACCACTTCTTTCCCCTAGTAATTAATAATTGTTTTTAAAATTATTACATGCTATGAAAAGATACAAAGGTCATCTGTTTATAGCCCATCCTTCAAAAAAAACAGTTTATGAATCCAGTTTAAGACATACATCTTGATCTCTAAAAAGTTACCAGTGCAGTATGAACACGACCTAAGTCGTCAATTTTCCCAAATTAGCCTGTCAAAATAGTTTTTCTTGAATCCACATTCTCTTGTAAAAATTATTTATAATAATAGATTTTTCTTGAAACCCTTTTTAGCAAGGTAAATACAAGTAGCACAATATCTAAATTGTTAATGTTTCAGAGATTGGGTACCCTTTTGATGGTTTCTGCATCATCCAATATTTTGCCCACTAAATCCCTCAATATTGTGATTCTCAAGACCTGCATTTTTCTTCAGCTTGAGAAATGTTCAAGTGGGTTCTTCCCTTTTGGTTTTCTAAATCCAGGTCTTGCCACATTTCAATGCAGTATTTTACTCTGCCTGCTTGAGCTCTTCTTTGAAATTTTCTGTTTAGCTCTTTTACTTCATCATTTCCATTCGCTTTAGCTACTCTACATTCAAGAGCAAATTTCAGCGTCTCTTTTCAGATCCAATCTGGTCTCTTATTTCCTTCCTATCTTTTAATGACCGTTTGCTTTCATCACGCATGATGTTCCTGATGTCATTCCATAACTCTATTAGTCTTGAGTAATTAGTGTTTAATGCATCAAACCTGTGCTAGAGATGGTCTCTAAATTCAGATGAAATACACTCAAGGTGATGTTCTGGCTCTTATGGACTTGTTTTAATTTTCTTCAGCTTCAGCCTGAATACTCTAATGAACAAATTGATAGTGTATTTCACAGTTGGCCCATGGCCTTCTTTTGCCTGATGACATTCAACATTCTTCCCACAGATGGAGTCACTTTAATTCCTATGTATTCCATCCAATGAGATTCACAGGTATGTTGTTGTTGTTAAGTACCGTGGAGTTGGTTCCAAATCATAGTGATCCTACACAGGGTTTCCGAGGCTGTAAATCTTTATGGGAGCAGACCGCCTCATCTTTCTCCCAAGGAGCCAATGGTAGTTTCGAACTGCCGACCTTGACGTTAGCAGGCCGATTCATAACCACTACGCTACCAGGCTCCTTTTCACAGGTATAGCCACCATTTATGTTGTTGAAAAATGTATTTGTAATGAATACATCGTTGATATTACAAAATTCTATCATGTGATCTCCAGTGTCATTTCTATCACAATGTTATATTTTCCAACTACCAATCCCTCCTCTTTGTTTCCAACTTTTGCATTCCAATCACCAGTGATAATGCATATTGATTGCATGATTAATCAATTTCAGACTGCAGAAGTTGGTAGAATTCTTCAATTTTATCATCTTTGACTTTTGTGGTTGGTACATAAATTTGAGTAACAGTTGTATTAACTGGGCTTCCTTGATGACAGGATATTATTGTATCACAAATAGCATTATATTTCAAGATAGATGCTGAAATGTTCTTTTTGACGATAAATATGACCCATTTTTCTTCAGTTTGGCTTTCCTGGCATAATAAACAATGTGGTTGTCCATTTCAGTTCACTAATGCTTAGGATGTTGATCTTTATGTGTTCCAGTTCATTTTTTACTTCCAGTTTTCTTAGACTCATACTTTATACAGTCCACATTCTAATTATTAATGGATGCTTACAGCTGTTTCTTCTCATTTCAGCAAGTTAAGACCCCAAAGCTTTGCTTCATCCTCAAGGTCGGTTTGAACTTCAAGGTTGACAGTTCAAACTCACCAGCCGCTCCTTGGAAACCCTGTACAGGGCCCCTAATGAGTCTGAACTGACTAAAAAACACTTAACAACAACATGGTATGCTGAAAAGATGATTTTAAATATTTGAATTCTCAACCACATTTTTTTTTTTTAATTTCAAAAATGGATTGAACTATGGTCAGTAAAGCTTTAGAGTTAATTGCATTTTAATATTTTATGATGTCTCAGAAGACTACTAATTCACATAAGGCACACATGGTAACTCTCTAAAATGCATCATTAACCATTTCATTTCCTAACTACCAAATATAAGATAATATATTATATTGTTGTTGTTGTTGTTGTTAGGTGCCATCGAGTCGATTCCGACCCATAGCAACCCTGTCTAGGGTTTCCAAGGAGCAGCTGGGAGATTGAACTGCTGACCTTGCAATTCAAAAGATTTTGCAGTCTGACGCATAAGCCCATAGTGCCACTTGAGAGAGCTGAAAAAATGCTTGCCAATCAGAATTTACCAGTTCAGAGCTTTCAGTTTTAGCTTAAACCTTTTAAAGATCATGCTTTTCCTTAGCGTACACATAAGTAAAAGACCAGCTGCTCCGCGGGAGAAAGATGAGGCTTTCTACTCCCGTAAGGATTTACACCCTCGGAAACCCTGTACAGGGTCGCTATGGGTCGGAACCG